AGTTGCCAGGTCCCATAACTTATATACTGGGGGATCAAGCTCATCCTCGGAAATGTCTCTGAGTTGCAGTGGAGACTGTTCTCCTAGTCATGCAACCATTACTGTGTTGGCATGTTGGTGATCCACAGGTGCGGGTTGTTTTAGCCGTAATACTGGGCCTGTTAGTAAATAGCCACCTGCAGATGGTAACACGTTCATACCGTGGTAATCTTCCTTTCCTATGATAAACTTATGGTAGACATCTGATCCCATAAGGATTCCAATATCGGAAAGGTTGTCCAATGTAATGTTATCAGCCAAAGGAATTCCCTTTTCTTCCAGGAATTTGGCTGTTGTTCCTAGACCTTCTATATACAGGTCTGTTGGGAATCTATCTACTACTAGTGCTGGTACTTTTCGTACATAACCTCCTAATCGTACTGTGGGTCGTACTACCCCGTAAGTTCAGGCTCCCGAGTTAGTCAGGAATCCTTTTATGTTTATCCGTGTCTCCTCTACAGGTGTAAGTTTCAGTTTATCTACCAACTCCTTGGATATAAAGGTCAGTTGGGACCCTTGATCAAATAATCCACGTACGGTGGCTTTATTCTTTCCATTTCTAATGATCAATCGTGCAGTAGGTAGAGCTGATTTATGGTTAGACCTGGTTGTGAAGACACTTATGTCAGGTAACACAGTACAAAGTTTTACTGATGCTGTAGCTCCTTCCTCCTCCTGTGGTTTGGGAGACTTTATACTTGTGTCCCCACAAAGTGCAGTATGGTGTTGACCCTTATGGCACTTAGTGCAGATGCGCATTACTGTTGTGCAATTGTCGGGATGATGTTCCCTTATACACTTGCTACATCTATATAACTCCTTGAGTCGTTTTATGCGTGTTGCACGATCAGGGTAGCGTCTGCAATTGTACATGGAATGTGATTGCTCACAAAACACACATGGTTTCCAGACATTAACAGTATCTTGAGGAGTCACCGTCTTGGGTGATGCGTTGACTGTAGGTTTGGAAGGACCAACTGCATATGTTCCTACACTGCCCTGATTCCACTTTGTGGAGGGGGAAGATGTTTTAGCTTTGTTTGGAGCACTGTTTGTACTCTGTTGTTTACTATTAGTAGCAGATGTGGGTTTAGATGTTTTTTCTTCTGGATTAACTCTTTCTCGTTCTATGATGGTTTGTAAACCCTTTGTAATCTCATTTACAGTCAAGGATGACTTACCTACTAATACAAACAACTTATCCAGTATGTCCCTGGGTAATTTCCGTGTCATGTGGACTTGTATTATCCAGTCTGACTCATCCAGGTTCACTTTATTTTTAAGTGCCTTGAGTATGGACTCAAGCTCCAATCTGAAGGTTTGGAGTGAGACTGCAGTATTATTTGGAGGTTTAATGTCTAACAGTCTCTGTGTTAGAATTCTGATAGTCCTTTCAGGTTTAGCGTAATTATCTTTCAGGAGTTGCACTGCATTGTCATAATCATCATCTGTGTGATTTAGATTACAGACTACCTGATACGCTTCATCCTTCAAGACACTCTGTAAGTATGTAAACTTTGTTGTTTTTGGCACATTAGCATTAGAATCCACAGAATCGACAAATTTGCTCCAGAAACCGTCCCAACTCTCGTCTTCTCTTCCAGAAAAAGTTGGTAAACTAAGTGATGGCAATTTGACTTCTGGTGCTGTCTGTTTCTGGGAAGTTGTGGTTACAATATTTATATTAGCTTTATGGGCATGTATGATATCATCAAAGTATTGCAACTGTGTAAACATTGTATCTTCATAATCGGAATGTTCTTGTATAACATCTTGTAATGTTTCTCCACCAACACTGGTATTCTGAAGTAAAACTTGATATTCTTTCATTTGTTGCAACACACGGTCATATTTGTTCCGTGCAAGCCTAAGATAATTTTCCAATGCTACATAGTTAACTGGAGTTTGTTTACTTATGTCATCACATGTGCTAATCTGCCGTGATAAATGATCCCTCAATCCTGTGAGGGTTATTTGGACATTTTTGACAGTAGACATTTTGGAAGTACTTGTTAGTCGTATAGACTATATTTAAATATACACTGTAAAATCATACACACTATAATTTGAGTGGTAGACCTGTATCAATGCTGGTATCCGCAAGTTAGCCCATCATTATCACTCTTGGTTGGTACAGAGACACAGGTTAACACTCAAAGGTGAAATGATTATAGTTAAATTGTACTAATGTTATATTGATATCATATTGACAACACAACTCGGGTTGTCTTAAATACTGCATAAAAATATGTACTTGCTAGGTTGTAATATGTGTTCAACTCTAGACAAGTGTAAAATTCTTACCCTTACACCAGGTTAGCACAATAAATTAGACTAGGTTGCTGTACAACACCAGCCTAAAATGTTCTACCCTTGTGCAAGAATTAGTAGTAAATGATGTGGCATGCAGTAAATGTTACAGTAATGGCAATAATAATGCAATAATACAAAAAAACATATATAAGTAACTTATAAGTAAAGTAGCCTCTTATCAACCTCTTGTAATGAAATGAAAAAAGCACAATTGTTCCTTTGGTACTGTCAGAACAATAATAGTGCTTGTTGTAAGTTCTGTTTGCTATGAGATTGAAAAGTTAGGCTAGAAAAATGCAAAAAATATAGCAGTGTCTTCCTGCTATAATGTGTGGGTAATATTGCACTATCACTATATGTATGTATAATATCTAGTTCAAAGAACTAAATATAATCCGGTTCCGTAGGACCAAACAATGTGGGGAAAATTCCAGGCAGCTAATCTCTCTTTTTCAAATTGATTTAATAAAATAAAGTTATGTCTTATTTATTTTCTTAGTAAGTAAGTATTAATTAAGTGGACTGTATGTACTGGTAAACTGCCTGAAATCTTCTTACACACCATTGGGAGGGACAATTGGTAGCCTAAACCACTTTGTTATGGTTCCTTCTTAAACTACCAATTGTTTACCTTTAAAACTATTAATTCAGTTATTTCATTATAAGTAATTAATTATAACTACTGCTACTGCTATAATGTCTTAGCTGTGCCAGTAGAATGGGCCTAGTAAGGCGTGTAGGTGTAGCCTCAAGATGGGTGTGGCCCTGCCTCTTTGTGCCACGTAATGGCGGCTGGTGGGAAGGACAAGGCTTGGCAAACAAGTAGTTAATTATGTGTATGAACCAACTGTCTGCACAGATTCTTGAAGCTCCTCTCACAATTTACCTGTATGGGATGCAAGGAATTAATCAAAGTTCCCTAAACATATCAATTACAGGTATGACATGAACTGTGGGGGCTGTAATGGGGTACACGTACGGTGTTTTTGGGGATGTCCTACGACATAACCATCTACATATTTATATTAATCAGTGCACTTGAATAATAAACAATACTTGGTAGACGGATACAGTTGATGTTGTGATGTTGTTAGGCTGTGTGGCTGGTGTTGACACGTAAATGGGGTGTCTAGCTGTTTACACCAGTTAAGACAGCGTGGTATGCTCATCCCATGTTTTGTTGTTGTTGTGTAGTATATGGACGCCTACCTCTCCGGGGAGACGCTCTTATGCTCTGGTTCTCCACTCAAAGTAATTTTACATTAACAAGGGAACCTAGCTACTATTTGATGTAAATAATTATATTCATTCTTAGTGATTACTTTTTTATTAACTTTAGATACTAAACTAATCTATTAACAATGTTTCATAATGTAAATATACGATGACTTTGATGACGTCACGGAGTCGATGACGTCACGGAGTCTCCCATTTTCCATCCTGAAGGGAGTATAGACTAGGGGAGACTGTGTTATTTGTGTGTGTGGTTGTGTGTGTGTGTCGGTTTCCCGACACATGTACATTGGCGACGTACGCATTGCAGTCGTGAAAGCAAAAACAAGAAACACCCCACAGTAGGCCGGGTACTTAATTAAGGCACCGGCCCCACTCCTCGCCGCGCAGCCAAGTCACCCCCACCCCGTCAACACCCCTGCCTCCCTCCCTCCTCCCTGGTGCCATCTTTAGCCCCCCCACTCCCCAGTGCACACGGTGAACAGGGAAGGGGGTGGCCTGGTCCCCCATCCCCCTTCACCCGGCGCAACGTTAGGTTCAACACTTATATGCTCGCCACGACTTCTTTTATTCTGACTCTTTGTACTCGTGTATACACCCTCATAATGCATACTCTCTGTACGCATGTATATGCTTTCATCATGCATACTGTTTGTACGCATAGGTATATACTTTCATCATGCTAGTATACACTTTCATCACGCATACTCATCCCATGTTTCTGTATGCATGTAGCTTGTCTCAACATTTACACATGTAATGTAATGTTAAACACTTATGTAAGTGGTAATTATTGGTAATTAGTAATAGTTATTTAGGATTAACGGTACATAGGCGATATGCATCCTTCCTTATTATTGTTAAGTGTACCACTTATAGTTCTGGGATGATTTCTCGAACACTGAATACTTTATTTACGTACTCTGTTCGGGTGCGTGTGCCCCTATTTACGTATAATGTGTATCCAAGAATAGTTTTAAGGTCACTTAACAAGTATCCCTGCACATGCACACCATAGGCTGCAACTCGCAATTGCAGTATACTAGCAACTGCGAAGCTAAAAAAACAGCTTCACTTGCAAATTACTAGCATCTGCAGATGCAACATTTCCATGCAACTCGCAGTTACAAATTCTAGCAACTTCAGTTGCAGCTTACAAGCAACTGCGAAGCTGCAAAACAATCCACCAGCTTCACTTGCAAATTACTAGTAACTGCAGTTGCAACAATTCCATGCAACTTGCAGTTGCCAATATATTATTATTAGTATTTAAAATTAATAAAATTTTATATCGCCTATGGTTTTTATCTCACCCGACGCACAAAAAAAGGTAGTATGGGCCCGGGAGAGGAGTTGTAGATATTATATACTGACACATTATACAGCAATGTCTCTCTCTCTCTCTCTCTCTGCAGATCTCTGGGTGTAGAGAAGTGGAGTTAACATCGGCACAGATGAAGATCATCGACTGCAATGTGTACAGTCTGAAGGCTTCAGCCGTGGTGACTGAGGAAGGTACAGGAGTTGAAATTACACACGACGCCTCTGTCTCGATCTCTCGTACTGCCATCAAATTTAAAACTATTTACAAAGACACTTATATGAAGCCAAATCTTCCTTACACCCTCAAGGTTTGTTGACATCACCCTGTAAAAATTAATTGCTGCACAACAGATACTACATGTGCATATTAAATTTAATTTAGTAATGCACATTTTTCTTGTAATATATATATATATATATATATATATATATATATATATATATATATATATATATATATATATATATATATATATATATATATATATATATATATATATAACTGAAAACTCACACCCCAGAAGTGACTCGAACCCATACTGCCAGGAGCAACGCAACTGGTATGTACAGGGACGCCTTAATCCGCTTGACCATCACGACCGGACAAATAAGGAAGTGATAGCCGAAGCTATTTGAACCACTTCCCCACCGGCACTCGGATGGTAATCTTGGGCATAGCATTTCATCAAATCACCTCATTTTTAGGGGCAACACGTGAGGAACACATATGAGAACAAGCCTGAATGGTCCCCAGGACTATATGCAACTGAAAACTCACACCCCAGAAGTGACTCGAACCCATACTGCCAGGAGCAACGCAACTGGTATGTACAGGATTAAGGCGTCCCTGTACATACCAGTTGCGTTGCTCCTGGCAGTATGGGTTCGAGTCACTTCTGGGGTGTGAGTTTTCAGTTGCATATAGTCCAGGGGACCATTCAGGCTTGTTCGCATATGTGTTCCTCACGTGTTGCCCCTAAAAATGAGGTGATTTGATAAAATGCTATGCCCAAGATTACCATCCGAGTGCCGGCGGGGAAGTGGTTCAAATAGCTTCGGCTATTACTTCCTTATTTGTCCGGTCGTGATGGTCAAGCGGATTAAGGCGTTCCTGTACATACCAGTTGCGTTGCTCCTGGCAGTATGGGTTCGAGTCACTTCTGGGGTGTGAGTTTTCAGTTGCATATAGTCCTGGGGACCATTCAGGCTTGTTCGCATATATATATATATATATATATATATATATATATATATATATATATATATATATATATATATATATTTATTTATATTTAGGGGTACCACCACTGGTTTAATTAAAGGGACCCACATCCTCGAAGAAGAAAATCTCTGTGGTGTAGTGGTAAGACACTCGCCTGGCCTTCTGCGAGCGCTATGTCATGGGTTCGTATCCTGGCCGGGGAGGATTTACTGGGCGCAAATCCTTAACTGTAGCCTCTGTTTAACGCAACAGTAAAATGTGTACTTGGATGAAAAAACGATTCTTCGCGGCAGGGGATCGTATTCCAGGGACCCGCCCGAAACGCTACGCATACTAGTGGCTGTACAAGAATGTAGCAACTTTCGTATATATCTCAAAAAAAAAAAAAAAATAGTGTTGAGAGAAGACCTTGTGGATTCTCACTGAATACTTTAATCTTTTCCTCTCCTACCATCCCTATTATTTTTTTTATATGATTATATTGCAATGCTACAGTTTACAGAAAACACACACTTATATAACAATATAACAATATACCAATCAGTGTTCGAAGACCTCGTCCAGCTCCTCGGGGGTCGGGTGCGTACCCAAGATACAGCACGCATTTCCCCTCTGAACAGCGACACTGAGGCGCTGGAACATAAAACTGGCCGCTCTTGGGTCTCTAGTCTTCCCAATGAGTTCCTCGCCCAGCTCCTTCAGGAACTTAAGTGCACATTTACCCCAGGCGCCCAGAGTCTCAGAGCCTATTGGCACGAACCTGTAACAACGTTCTAGGTCCTTGTACTTGTTAGTTTTCTGGGTCTCCCTGAAGGTGGCCGCCCCGCCTCCCTCAGCTGCGCTGTAAGGTAGATAAGTATCAGCCAATGTGGATGCGCACATGTAGTCCCACACGACCTGTTTACCTTCCCTCCACGGCTGCAGGGTGACTCCATCTGGGCGTTTTTGGCTGTTGTCAGGCCTGCACAACTGAGGTTCCCTTTGTGCTGGGCACCCAGCTGAAGCCAAACTTCTCTTGATGATGTCATTGACTGCTTCATGTCTGGCAATCTTTCTTTGTGTCTTACGACAGATGAGACCATGGCTGTAGTATTGGTCTGCCCGTGCATGGCCGCAAATACACCGGTGCTCGGTGGAGATAGGGGCGGCAAGGCACAGAGCAACACCAATACTTAGGGTCCGATGGTCCAGGCGGGTGCCCAAGGCGGAATTAGGGACTGCCAACAGGAAGTCCCCGGCATGGGGCGCTTGCACAGCTAGAAGACGTGCTTTGTCCTTCCTGGAAGCTGCCTCCAGCAATGATGTGGCGATGTTCTCCACTATGGGGCTATCCCATTTGGACTGTTTGCAGTCATTTGGAAAAGTCGGTCGAGGATGAGAGTTGACAAGAGTGTCCCACTGACCGGCTCCTTCTGCGAATTTGGGATCATGAACCCCAATGGAGTCTCTTAGGTGTTTCGGTAGTATTTCCTTAACTAATTCACCTGTTGCTCTGGTCGAGGATAAGAATGCCGTCAATGCTAACTGTGTCTCCTTGCGATTACCTATCCCCCCGAGTCTAACTGGAAGCGTTGCTTGGTCCCATTGGTCATCTTGCAGGGAGAGGTTTAACACTTTCACGGTTATTGACCTTAGGAGTGTGTCATATTCTGTTAATTTTGGGCTGTCGAAGGAGGGAGCACACCTTAGGAAATAGGTCAGTCTGGGCAAAGCCAGGCACCTTGTGAGAAGGTACAAAGCATCGTGGGCGTCCAAATCCCCTATTCTTCCCTCCATCCTCCTCAGGTCGTTCAGCTTTTCTTCGAGGACTACCTCAATGGCGCTCCAGCCCAGAGGTGCTCCTAGCAGCACACTGTCGGTGGGAGCGATCACTGGGGCTCCTGGCAATATGATTCGCACTGCATCTATGGTTGGTTGGCTAGATGAGATGATTTCACACTTTAATGGGTTTAGGGTGAGTCCTAACTCCTCTCCCTTAGATTTCACCATATGTCGAACCTAGTAGGCAGAACTCACTTCTCAGCCTACTATGCAAGGCCCGATTTGCCTAATAAGTCAAGTTTTCATGAATTAATTGCTTTTCGACTACCTAACCTAACCTAACCTAACCTAACTTTTTCGGCTACCTAACTTAACCTATAAAGATAGGTTAGGTTAGGTAGCGTTGGTTAGGTTCGGTCATATATCTACGTTAATTTTAACTCCAATAAAAAAAATTGACCTCATACATTATGAAATGGGTAGCTTTATCATTTCATAAGAAAAAAATAGAGAGAATATATATAATTCAGGAAAACTTGGCTTATTTGGCAAATCGGGCCTTGCATAGCAGGCCGAGTACGACGTTCTGGCTACTAGGTGCAACATATATATATATATATATATATATAGTTACATATCTGATTTTATACAAAAAATGAACATTAAGAGGACACAAGAAAAAGTTCGCTTCCTAGAGGCTGTAGATTTCCTCTTTATATATAAAGATTATATATAAAGATTATATATATATATATATATATATATATATATATATATATATATATATATATATATATATATATATATATATATATATATAATTCACTACTGTGCAGAGTGATATACAAGAAAATTATACCAGTGTTTAAGTGTCACCCAGACCCCCCCTCAAGCTGAGCGAGGCCCGGTCAGCCCCAACCTCCTCCCCGCCCGCCGGCCTCGCCGCACCACAGTACCTCCTGCCATCCCACCACCCAGCCCACCCTGCGCCTGGGTGTCTCCCACCCACCTATTCACCGCCCACACAGTGCTTGTTGCAGGGATGTGCTACCCTCCATGCACCCAGATATGGCACAGGTCACAGCAGGCATTCAGGTTCCTCCCAAAAGGGAGGGAGACACAAGTACTCATAGAAGTGGCGAGTGTGAGGGACAGCTAGCCACCCCTCCTGCCACCACCCGTGTCCACCCCTGCCGTCACCACCCCTGTCATCCATCCCACGCCGGCCGCCCAGGGGATGGAGAGGACTCCACCAACTAACCAGGAACCCCTCAGCCAAGAACAGGGTCCTGGGAACAGTGCACGCAGACGTGCAACCAGAGGACCCAGACTCAGAGGATCGTGTCGGATGTGTGACGAATCACACAGCCTTAGAAACGATGGAACCCTACGTCAACACAACAACTGTGAGGGTTTATGGACGGCACCTGTAGAGAGGCCCACAGGTCCCCCCTGCACCCCCACACATTACAGCAAACTTCATGTCATCAGATAACCTCCTGGGGGCCATAAAAGCATCCACCACCAGAACTCTTCCCCACATTCCTAAAGCAGCGCGCCCATTTGCAGCAGGGAAATATACAGACCTTCTAAGGAAAGTAAATGAACGGTCTGCAAAACTTAATGCCGCGGCCACCATCAAAGCATGGCATAATTCGCTCCTGTTTGGCAATATTTGCTTAGGCGTACCTGCAAGAGGAGGCAAGTCACTAGCCTCATCAGTCTCTAGGGCAATAAATAATTTCCCCAGAGCTGACAACTTGATCCCCATCCCTCCTCAACGCAAAAACCCTCGTGGCAGACCCAAGAGTTCCAATGACAATTTTAAACTAGGAACACAAGTGACCAAAAAAATTGAAGAGGACAACAAAGTAGGGGCAATTAGGTTACTTACCAGCGAAGAAACAATCGCCCTTAGAAATACAGCAACTGCCGACTCACTGAGAGAGAAGCACCCTCCCAGAGTACCATGGGAGCCCACTGCTCGGGACACAAATGTCCCAGACATGGGACCTCTATTCCTCCAAGCGTCAGAGGTATACAAAGCCATCATGTCATTTCCGCCAGGCTCGGCAGGGGGATACACTGGAGTAAGACCTCAGCACCTCAAGGAGATGGTAAACCCAGTTCTCGGAGAAGTTGCCGAGACACTATTGTCAGAGGTCACGAAGTTTGTCAACGACTGCCTCTCTGGGTTGATCCCAGATACAATTAAACCCTCTTTCTTTGGAGCATCCCTTTGTGCCCTCAAGAAGAAAGATGGTGGAGTCAGACCCATTGCCGTGGGTAACACACTTCGGCGCCTTGTTGCTAGGGCAGCTGTCAGAAAAACTAGCATAGATGCTGCGACGATGCTTCGACCCCATCAACTAGGTTTTGGTGTACCCCATGGCTGTGAAGCAGCAGCTCATGCAGCACGAGCCTATATCAAGCACCTCCCGGAAAATAAGGCATTAATTAAATTAGACTTTAAAAATGCCTTCAACCAGGTAAAAAAGAGATGTGGTACTGGAAGCAGTTCGAACAAGCTTTCCTTCTCTACTCCCCTTCGTCTCAGCAGGGTACAGTAGGGAATCGACGCTGCTGTTTGGGGAACATGAAGTTGTTTCTACAGAAGGTGTCCAGCAGGGAGACCCACTTGCCCCTTTTCTTTTTTGCATGGCTGTTAAAGAGGTCACAAGCAGGTTGACCAGCGAACTCAACATCTGGTTCCTGGACGATGGCATCCTGGCAGGGGCACAGGAGTCCCTGCTAGAAGATCTACAGCTGGTGAAATCTAAGGGAGAGGAGTTAGGACTCACCCTAAACCCATTAAAGTGTGAAATCATTTCATCAAGCCAACCAACCATAGATGCAGTGCGAATCATATTGCCAGGAGCCCAAGTGATCGCTCCCACCGACAGTGTGCTTCTAGGGGCACCTCTGGGCTCAAGCGCCATTGAGGGAGTCCTCGAAGAAAAGCTGAACGACCTGAGGAGGATGGAGGGAAGAATAGGGGATTTGGACGCCCACGATGCTTTGTACCTTCTCACAAGGTGCCTGGCTTTGCCCAGACTGACCTATTTCCTAAGGTTTGCTTCCTCCTTCGACAGCCCAAAATTAACAGAATATGACACACTCCTAAGGTCAATAACCGTGAAAGTGTTAAACCTCTCCCTGCAAGATGACCAATGGGACCAAGCAACGCTCCCAGTTAGACTCGGGGGGATAGGTATTTGCAAGGCGACACAGTTAGCATTGCCGGCATTCTTATCCTCGACCTGAGCAACAGGTGAATTAGTTAAGGAAATACTACCGAAACACCTAAGAGACTCCATTGGGATTCATGATCCCAAATTCGCAGAAGGAGCCGGTCAGTGGGACACTCTTGTCAACTCTCATCCTCGACCGACTTTTCCAAATGACTGCAAACAGTCCAAATGGGATAGCCCCATAGTGGAGAACATCGCCACATCATTGCTGGAGGCAGCTTCCAGGAAGGACAAAGCACGTCTTCTAGCTGTGCAAGCGCCCCATGCCGGGGACTTCCTGTTGGTAGTCCCTAATTCCGCCTTGGGCACCCGCCTGGACCATCGGACCCTAAGTATTGGTGTTGCTCTGTGCCTTGCCGCCCCTATCTCCACCGAGCACCGGTGTATTTGTGGCCATGCACGGGCAGACCAATACGGCAGCCATGGTCTCATCTGTCGTAAGACACAGGGAAAGATTGCCAGACATAAAGCAGTCAATGACATCATCAAGAGAAGTTTGGCTTCAGCTGGGTGCCCAGCACAAAGGGAACCTCAGTTGTGCAGGCCTGACAACAGCCAAAAACGCCCAGATGGAGTCACCCTACAGCCGTGGAGGGAAGGTAAACAGGTCGTGTGGGACTACATGTGCGCATCCACATTGGCTGATACTTATCTACCTTACAGCGCAGCTGAGGGAGGCGGGGCGGCCACCTTCAGGGAGACCCAGAAAACTAACAAGTACAAGGACCTAGAACGTTGTTACAGGTTCGTGCCAATAGGCTCTGAGACTCTGGGCGCCTGGGGTAAATGTGCACTTAAGTTCCTGAAGGAGCTGGGCGAGGAACTCATTGGGAAGACTAGAGACCCAAGAGCGGCCAGTTTTATGTTCCAGCGCCTCAGTGTCGCTGTTGAGAGGGGAAATGCGTGCTGTATCTTGGGTACGCACCCGACCCCCGAGGAGCTGGACGAGGTCTTCGAACACTGATTGTATATTGTATATTGTTATATAAGTGTGTTTTCTGTAAACTGTAGCATTGCAATAAAATCATATAAAAAAAATAAAAGGGATGGTAAGAGAGGAAAAGATTAAAGTATTCAGTGAGAATCCACAAGGTCTTCTCTGAACACTATTTATTTTCTTCTTCGAGGATGTGGGTCCCTTTAATTAAACCAGTGGTGATACCCCTAAATAAATAAATAAATCAATATATATATATATATATATATATATATATATATATATATATATATATATATATATATATATATATATATATATATATATATATATATATATATATATATATATATATATATATATTATATTTAGGGGGGGGGATTTTTTTCTTTGGTGAGTATAGGTAACAGTATTTGCAATCTTCTTTTATCAGTGGTGGATGTCAGAATTGTTTTATTATTTACTAGCATGTTCCTAGTGAGGGTTTGTTATATACATTTTGCATATTGTTACTACGGGCACCAACATGTAGCTGACAGGTCAGTCTTCTTGACAGCTTGGTAGTGGTCATATTAATATAAGTAGATCGTAGGTGACCTCCTACTTCGGGGCATGTAATTTGGTATACTATGTGTGCACATCGGAGAGGGTTGTATTGTGTAATGGGGCTGTTCTTAAGTATTAAATCAGTAGCCTTTTTGCTTTTGTAGTAAATAATGAATTACTACCTGAACATCATGATTTTTTTAAATCTGGAATTTTAGATTTAGAAACAAATGATTTTTTTCCAATCTGGAAAAAATTTGAAGTAAAACCAATAGCCCCAAACCAAGGATTGGAATTAATTATTTACTATAAAACTTAAAACTTATTAGTTGGCTAAACAGGTAAACATCTTGACCAGAGACTCAAAAAATCTGTACATCAGTTTATGGATGGTTAAGAGGCGGGCCTAAAGCGATGAAGATCAACCCCCCACAAGCACAATTAAATGTGTAAAATTAGGTAAATAAACACTCACTCACCTGATAGATACTCTGTTGTGCCCATGCGTCTGTTTCCCACCTCTCTAAATCTCCCCTTCTCTTTATTCTCTCCCCAGTATAGCTTCACTTTCCCTCTCACCCCTCTCTCTTGATTCACATTTCTCCCCATTCCTTCTGGACTGGCATCTTGTTGATCGTAAGTTTATAACTGTCCCCTCTCACCCATGTGCGTTTGTCTATGTTGGAGACTTATGTTTGTTTTCACGGTCAACGTTTAGTCTTTGCGGTTTTGGGTGTTGTCTCTGGTTTTCTTAACCCTCCTGGCTGGTTCACTCTCCCATGGTGCCGTTTTGGGTCGAGTTCCTGCTTTTTGAGTCTTCTGGTTGGCCCACACTTTTGGTTGTCGTATGGTGAACTATACTGTGTCCTCGTGGAAAAGGTTTTGTTTCTCTGGTACCGGATCGGATCCTGGGATCTAGGATCAGATCCTCCATCTGCAGTCCTCGCAATCCTTCTGGAAAAACTATTCATCAAGCATATATAATTAATGATCATAGAAGCTAATCTCAATTATAATTTTCTTTTTTTCATTTGATTGCCAAATGTTATAGTCATCTAGCATCTTCAACATCTTGCAGGTGAGAGCCGATAATCCAGATGGTTCTCCAGCAGCTGGTATCCCCGTGGAGGTGTGTGCAGCTGGTCGGTGCAACATCATGACCACAGCGCCAGATGGTGTCTTCACAACAGTCTTACCTTCCTACAACACCAACAAGGTTTTAGTAAGTGTCGACTCTGTTCAGTTATATTATTCCAGCTGGTACTTGGCATTTGTGTGTTTCCTTATTTCTGTTTAGTTTTTAACAATTACAACAGTACTGGTGGCAACCGCTTCTAAACTTTAATCAATATGTATGTTCATATTATACCATTTTAAGGCAAAATACCTGTTTTTAATGTGAACAAAAATTAGTTTAAGGTTTTTCTTGCTTCCTCAAACAGGCAGCAATATCGAAAACAAAACTATTAACCAATGAGGGATTTCTATAGAGTTAGTGATTCATTTATCTAATAATAAAATAATCAAGAAATATAATTGGGATTTGTCAAAGCTAATTGCCCATATATAGGAATTAAATTGGAGTCAACACAAAAACACGAAACACTGAGCATGTTCATGAGATAATGTGTCCCCAAGAGGAAAATGTTAATAAATTTAATACCATCACATTATATGTCATTCAGGTAGGTTGTTCATGAGATCCTTGGTTGCATTTTCAACACATGAAATGTTAAATTACTTTCCAGCAATAAATTGGGAATGTCACAATTATCGTTTACTCTTGTAAATGGAAAAGAGATCACTCATTGACTCTGGCTTATAAGCTTGTTGATTATCAGAGTGTTGCTCTTGGTATGCCAAGTAGCAACTTTTGCTCACATGTCACTAAATACTTGATTCCAACTAGAAGTGGACTTGCTTGCTCTCCTCACACTAGTACGTCAAAATAAGTGAGATTTTCTCCTAATTGTCATGTTATCTTGAGGTTATCTTGAGATGATTTCGGGGGCTTAGCGTCCCTGCAGCCCGGTCCTCAACCAGGCCTCCTATTTGTTACATACCCCCAGGAAGCAGCCCATAGCAGTTGTCTAACTCCCAGGTACCTATTTACTGCTAGATAACAGAGCATCAGGGTGAAAGAAATTCTGCCCATTTGTTTCTGCCTCCATCAGGGATCGAACCCGGAACCTCAGGACTACAAATCCGAAGTGCTGTCCACTTAGCTCAGTCAATTTACTCAGTAAATTTACGGGGTAAATTGTGGGTACAACTCACACCTACCAAGTTGTGAGTTGCACAACTACTATGCCTGGGGACCACTCAGGCTTGTTTGCATTTGTGTTTCTCACGTGTGCCCCGAAGAATGAGGTGATTTGAAAAAAATATTATGCCCAAGATTACCATCAGAGCGCCGTCGGGATAGTGGGGTAAATTGCTTCGGCTACCATCATCTTCTGAACGGTCGTGATGGTAGAGTGGTGAAGGTGTCCTGTACGCCAGATGCATAGTGCTCCTGGCAGTATGAGTCACTTCTGGGGTGTGAGTTTTCGATTGCAAGTATGCCTGGGGACCATTTAGGCTTGTTTGCATATATATATATATATATATATATATATATATATATATATATATATATGCATATATATATATATATATATATATATATATATATATATATATATATATATATATATAATGTGGGCATGGTATATATATGCATGCAAATGCAAACAAGCCTGAACGGTCTCCAGGCATATATGCAACTGAAAACTCACACCCCAGAAGTGACTCGAACCCATACTGCCAGGAGAAACGCAACTGGTATATACAAGACGCCTTTATCCGCTTGACCATCACGACCGGAAAAAAGGAAGTGATAGTTGAAGCTATTTGAACCACTTCCCCGCCGGCAATCGGATGGTAATCTTGGGCATAGGATTTTATCAAATCACCTCATTCTTTGGGGCACGTGAGGAACACGTGTGCCCCAAACACTTTTTTTAAACACTTTTAAAGCGTTCTGCTTTGTGTCTGGAAACAAAGCAGAACGCTTTAAAAGAGACCAACGTCGTCTATGCCTTCAAATGCCCACTTGGGGACTGTAAGCTCCAAAAAACCCAGTATATAGGCAAGACAACAACATCTCTTTCTAGGCGTTTAACGATGCATAAGCAACAGGGCTCCATTAAGGAACATATAATCTCTTCCCACAACCAAACCATCGCCAGAGAAATCCTAGTAAACAACACAGAAATCATCGATAGATACAGCGATAGCAGACGGCTTGACGTTTGCGAGGCACTGCACATTAAGAAGTCAACACCAGCAATCAACAGCCAATTAATGCACAACTATATTCTACCCACGTCAAGACTCCGCTCCAATATAGAAGCATCAAGAAATATGGACCAATAGTCTTTCTACAATCACTTCCATTTCAATACCCATTGTTTCGTGTTCTGTCTTGTGTTGATGAAATTAATACCCTATTAAATACCACCTCACCCCACTCAAATGTAGATATAAACAAATCGGAGATATGTAAGTTCTATTCAGTTGTGTATGTGTAAAGTCTTTGAAAATGTAATAAGTTTTACGAAACGCGCTCAAGTGTCGCGTCAGACTAGAAATAAAAATGAATTTTGGAGAATTGATTTTTGAATTACCTCCAACAGTGAAAAGAAATGTACGAAAGATTGAGAAAATTCGTGTTAGAATTATTAATCTTACTTTTTCGGTCATATTTAATAATATATGTCTACAGGAAAGACTGCTACCAAAATATACTAATATATATTTATATATATATATTGAGAAACCACAAGGTCTCTGAATACTTTTTATTTTCTTCTCCGAGGTTATAGGTCCCCACATTGGCACCAGAGGTGGTACCCTCACAAACTCCTATACATTTATATATATGAACCACCCCACCGCCGGCACTCGGATAGTAATCTTGGGCATAGCATTTTACCAAATCACCTCATTCTTTGGGGCACACGTGAGGAACACAAATGCGAACAAGCCTGAATGGTCCCCAGGACAATATGCAACTGAAAACTCACACCCCAGAAGTGACTCGAACCCATACTCCCAGGAGCAACGCAACTGGAATGTACAAGACGCCTTAATCCACTTGACCATCACGACCGGACAAATGAGGTGATAGCCGAGGCTATTTGAACCACCCCACCGCCGGCACTCGGATAGTAATCTTGGGCATAGCATTTTACCAAATCACCTCATTCTTTGGGGCACACGTGAGGAACACAAATGCGAACAAGCATGAATGGTCCCCAGGACAATATGCAACTGAAAACTCACACCCCAGAAGTGACTCGAACCCATACTCCCAGGAACAACGCAACTGGTATGTACAAGACGCCTTAATCCACTTGACCATCACGACCGGACAAAATGAGGTGATAGCCGAGGCTATTTGAACCACCCCACCGCCGGCACTTGGATAGTAATCTTGGGCATAGCATTTTACCAAATCACCTCATTCTTTGGGGCACACGTGAGGAACACAAATGCGAACAAGCCTGAATGGTCCCCAGGACAATATGCAACTGAAAACTCACACCCCCAGAAGTGACTCGAACCCATACTCCCAGGAGCAATGCAACTGGTATATATATATATATATATATATATATATATATATATATATATATATATATATATATATATATATATATATATATATATATATATATATATATATATATATGTCGTACCTAGTAGCCAGAACGTACTTTTCTGCCTACTATGCAAGGCCCGATTTGCCTAATAAGCCAAGTTTTCATGAATTAATATATTTTCTCGACTTTTTAACCTACCTAACCTAACCTAACCTAACTTTTTCGGCTACCTAACCTCAACCTTTTTTATAAAGATATTTAAATTCACGTTAGATATATGACTGAAGTTAACCAACATATACCTACCTAACCTATTTTATACTTAGGTTAAGTTAGGTAGCCATACAAATGTTAGGTAGGCTTTATCATTTAGGTAGATTAGGTAGTAGAAAAATATATTAATTCAGGAAAACTTGGCTTATTAGGCAAATCGGGCCTTGCATAGTAGGCCGAGAAGTGCGTTCTGGCTACTAGGTACGACATATATATATATATATATATATATATATATATATATATATATATATATATATATATATATATATATATATATATATATATATATATATATATATATATGTGTGTGTGTGTATTTTGTGATGGAGCCCCCTCCTATTTCCCTCCAAATCCGGCTTTAAGAGTCATATCAGCTTACCCTGCAGGTTACCTGAGATACAGGGAGACTTTTGATGAATGAGGCTACCGAAATTGTTACCAATTTATGGAGAAATGTGTAGTTTACGTTTGTAGGTAAGGGGGGGGGAGGGAAGTCGCACCTTAAGTACAACAAAATGGCGGCCCCTGCCTACAAATCCTCCATTTTGTGGGCAACGCCAGCTGGCTGAGGTTACATGACGGGATTGACCAGTCAAAGCCCGCACCTGGGTCTGTGACGTCACACGGAGGCCTGGCTCATCGCCCGCAGAGTGCTGGGCGCGCTGAGAGAGTGATGCAGTGCTCCGTTGAGAGTAGACGTGCGCTGGTTGCGCTCTCGAGTTCCGAGGTCCAGGAGCCTCATTCAGTGGAGTTACACAGTATAACAAGTTCATAGTGACTACCAAGGACTGCAGTACTTCGGGAAAGTACAAGGAAGCCGAGTTCCAGCGGTGTAAGAGCGCCGAGAGCTGTGAGCTGATAGTTTTGGAAGAGTCGAGGGAGTGGCTGCGGCAGGAGCAATATATTTGTTATCTGTTTTTGGAATAGATTCACAGAACAAAATTGAATCATCAACTTCCGGTGTTGACAAAGGCCCAAATCGGCCGAAACGTTCAACGGTCTTTTCAATTTCTCTGTGGATTTTCCGCATATAATATATAGTCACGCATATAATATATATATGTTATATATTGTCACGCGTATAATATATATGTTATATATTGTCACGCGTATAATATATATATTATATATTGTAGGCGAAATGAGCCAAAAACGCGTTTAGCATTCATTCTCTATTTTTCACATATGGTTTTTCCGGATCAGTGTTTTGCTCTTCACTAGGAAATGCTACATATTTCTGTTTCAAATATAAGTCATCAAACCCATGATAATTAATACTGTTCAATAGATGCATAACAATAGTTGCTGCTTTCTGATTAGGTACTTCAATTAAATCTAAGAACATGAAATGGGTATTGCCATCATTATCACTTTCACATTTCAAGTAAACTATCAAGGTTGTTTTAATACTCAGGCTTGTTGATTCATCATGAGAACACAAATTTTGCTATTTTCTGCATGATATGCTGGCAAATTGTATTTTTTTCATTTTAATGGCTATGTGATTATCTCTGTGGCACTAATGTGGGAATGCAGCATTAGTGTCATTCCAGTGTCAATGCCATTTTGCTTTTGTAGTTCCAGTAAGCCAAAGTGATCAGAGTTTGGTCTGTCATTCTGAGCTAAATAATATGCAGAACGCAAAATTGAACAAGTTGTCTTTAGATGCAAAGCATTCATGACATCACACAGCTTTCCAATATTCATTAACTTGAAGTTATCTTGAGGTTATCTTGAGATGATTTCGGGGCTTTAGTGTCCCCGCGGCCCGGTTCTCGACCAGGCCTCCACCCCCAGAAAGCAGCCCGTGACAGCTGACTAGCACCCAGGTACCTATTTTACTGCTAGGTAACAGGGGAATAGGGTGAAAGAAACTCTGCGCATTGTTTCTCGCCAGTGCCCGGGATCGAACCCGGGACCACAGGATCACAAGTGCAGCGTGCTGTACGCTCGGCTCCCTAGCTACATTTAGCTACAACTAGATACATTTTCAACACGTAAAGCAGCAGTGTCAGCTTACGATAGTTTAAGATCAACAATTTTGTTTTCTGAGAGACTTAAAGCGTGTACTTCGATCTGCTCCATAATAGGATACTTGGTATATCTGCCCCTCATCTAATAGTCTTAACCCCTTAGAACTGAAAAGTATTAAATTGCCTATGTTTGCACATACTTTACACCCAAGTTTACGCCACTTTCACTCTTATCATTATCAGTCTCCTTTACATAATTATTCTTGCAATTCTCATTTTGTTTACGAATTAAGTAAGTCAACATTGTTTGCTTAGAAGCCATGATGTTTTTTTTTTTTGTAAGAACAAATGCATCTGTATTAGAGAGAAATCCAGGGACCACCAACCACCACTCTACTAATGCCACTGAAACACAGAAGCAGAGCTGCAAACTCAGTATTACATACCACGCTAGAACCCCCCCCCCCCCACCCCCTTTCCCCTCCCTAAAAAACTAAATAATGTAAAGTTGTGTGTAGCAGTTTTGTCATTTTACCTGCCTAGTGTTTAATACTAAAATATACTATTGTATGAATAAAGAATACCTGTCTAATGATCTACTGCTAAACCCGTGAACATTATCCTGAATATTGGTATCCAAAGCGGTAGGTTGGCAACTGTCTCATACCGTTTGTCTGGCATAAATTGACAGGAAGCGTTCACCCGCGTCGGGTATTATGTTTCCAGATTCCTACTACTACAATTCGTACTGTTTACTTTTTAAATATATACAAATTTAAATCTTGAATCTTTAAGAAACGAAGATATATCATAACATTATTAACTTATTAGTGATGTGATATTTACAAATATTTTCCAGTCATAATCATCCATCACCCACAAACCATCATCTCCCTTTCCCCTCATCCTCTCTACCTTTCCCTCATTTCATTCATCTACTTGCAAAGGTGCCGGAGAAGCGCTCCACTGAGCTCTGGCAGTACTGCACCTCTGCCTGTAAGTAAATGTGATTAACGATCAACATCTACTAAAATATGATTCCAGTATTTAATAATAGGATATTATATCACGAACTGCTTTTGCAATATAATTGTTGGTATCCAGGTGTTCCTGGTCAGTTTAAATTATAAACATACACAGTGTGGTCGCTGTTGAGCGAGCACGTATGCTAGTAGATGGTTGTGGTGAGGTGTAGCGTCCTGTCCGGTACCTCATAAATGACTTGCTTCTGTATCACTGGACAAATCATCAGAGTCACTGTAATAGTTCTTCACATGGATATAAAAATCCAAGAGTGGTGGTGGCTTTATAAACCAAACTTGGAAAACTTGTTGAAGTAGATGCCAGATGAACTCAGCAGCCGGTGCGTACCTCGTGAGTATAATGGAGTCGTAAAGTTTATATTGGCATCTCCACCAGAGCCTCCAGCAGGAGCCCGGTAGGTAAGGGTGCCGGTTAGTTCATATTTATTTATAATCTTTTGATTGAATATTTTTACTTAATTCAATCAATATTAAAACCTTTAAATCAAGATTAGTTTAAAATATCATATAATACTATGATAATATTAATTAATACTACTAAAGTAGAAATCAGATTGTGTTCAAATGTTGAGTGTGGTAACAAAGGTGGACGCCCAGGCTGGCTACCCTAGCTGGTTGCTGCAACCCGTCCTCGACTCAAGTCTATTACATCCAGCGATCGACCCCACAGACGCATTCATAAATTTTTACATGCTGTTCTTTCAAAACGGGAATTTTCTCTAATATAAATTAATAATGCAATATATTAGCATATCGTGCATATAAAGGCATAGGTTAGGTGGTTAGGTTCTGTTGGCGATTATTTGTATTTGTAGTACGTGGGTGAAGCATTTACAGCAACCCATCCGCGACTCAAGTCCATTACATTCAGCGGTCAACCCCACAGACGCATTCATAAATTTTAACATGCTGTTCATTCAAAACGGGAATTTTCTCAAGTATAAATTAATATTATAACATATTAACATATTGTGTATATATAGGCATAGAATAGGTTGGGTTAGGTGTTTAGGTTCTGTTGGCGATTATTTGTATTTGTAGTACGTGGGTGAAGCATTTATAGCGTTGTGGTTCGAACAAAATTCGTCAGTGAAGCACTTGTTCCGGATGTGTTCGAACGTCAGGAGTTGTGAGTCGTGTGTAAACCGCTTTTCATTCATAAACAGGGGGTTTGGTGGGTGCATGGAATCACTTTTGGATCTTTGTTTGGAAGACGGGCTGTTTCATTCATAAACAGCGGGTTTTGCGGGTGAATGGAATCATTTCGGGTCTTCGTTTGGAGAACGGGCTGAGTTGCTAGTGAGAACTCACTTTTGGTGAACCCCCAGATAACTCTTTAGATTTAGATAATAGTGGATATTTTCCACACTTATGGCATATAGTATGAATATTCTTAGTTACAGGGTGTGTAAAAATGAACCTCCCTTGATTTTCGGATTTGGAAATTTGATGGAATGCTAGTACCTGGAGGGCCAATGACAACCGCCCAAATGTTGCAATAATATTGACTGTGAAATTAAGATGTAGTCGCTGTTTTCTCTAGAACATTGTTGGTACCTTACTTAGCTGTTGTTCCAGAAAATACATGTTACAAATATTTGTTGCCTCAACCCCCAGTTTGTGTGTGTCTCTTGGGCCCCCACGACTCATGGCTTTATGAGTTACACAGTTCATGGTCCTTGAGCTCCAAAAAATACTATTGTATTGCCACATATCCGCTGCAATCGTTCAAGCAAAGCTAAAGAGTTGTGTCTGGTTGTCTTGTGCAAACTAACTTATATGAAAGTTAATTCTTTCTGCGTTTTTCAGTCCTTTTATTGGTAGTTTGTGTGAGATTAGTGAGTTGATAATAGCATCCAATGTAATATGCATAATTACTGTACACAATATTTTTGTTTACATATGTATTAACTACTGCTGGTTTAAGAATTAAGTTCGTTTGAGTAGAGATGATAATATTGAAGCATTCAAGCAATATCTGCAGGTGTCATCATGTTCCAAATTATTCTGCTCGAAACAGATGCAAGCTCTGAACTGCCGGGCAATGATGAGTCATTCACAATTCTCAACGACCCTGGAACGCTACTTCTCTCCCTCGAACTCGTCCCTGTTGATCCACGCCCCGGAGGGTCACCTCAGGTGTGTGCCTGGAGAAGCCCAGGACCACCTCCTGCCCGTCCTCTTCTCTGCCTCCGGTCACACCTCTGCCTTCATCACTGTCCAGGTAATCCTCCATTCCCTATTCTTAAACACATACAAATATATAAACTAGAGCACTGCATTCACCTTCTAGTCCATGAAAGGTAAATCTTTTTTTTTATTTTGGATTCCAGTCACTCATGTTTGAATACAACTGACACTCTCCAACACATTTGCTTGTGTGTTTATAGATGTATAAATACATATTTTCAAGCTATATCCGAAACACTGTTTTATTATCTAACAGATTTTTTTGTTTCAAATTTTTACAATCTCCTTTCTTTTATAAGTGCCAACAATTTGTGTAGTTTAATAACTTATCTCCTCCTTCTATTCCTTTTAGGAGAAAGGAGCATAAATACTCTATATTTGTATTCATTGTTAGGTGACGATCTGTATAAGCGCAAACAGGTGTATTCCCACACCTGACCTGGCCACACAATGACTATGACCCTAACTGGTGTAATCATTGCTCTTGTGCAAGTCCTGTCATCTAGTACTGAATGGTCAGATCAGCCTCTCACAGCACTGTTTGCAATCACTCTAGGCTGTTATAGATCTCAGACACACACCCTAACTATCCCTGCTACCAAACGGCTTGCACTTTAATGGCCTATCTCACCAGGACCTAAGAACGCTATCCTCTGAAGATCCCCAGACCTCAACACACTCAGCTTTCGATTACTGCAAATATTGCCTGACATGCACTAAGGGGCCTGTTACGGCCCTATTGGGTCGCAACCGGGTTCTTCTCTGATGTTATTAGAGTTTGGGTATCCGGCCCCAAGTTAGTAGTGGCTTTCAAGGGGTGTGTTCCGTAATGCAAGTTAAATTAAAGGGGAAGGGATACAAATGCACTGCTTTTGTATATATATTGCTACCACCACCATAAATATATCACAGTCACACGCGGGGTTGCTATAACTACACTTATTATATACAAATTAGTCTTCCTCTGAAGACACAGGATGCTCCACGGTGCTCAAGATGAGTAGCCCTGGTTCTCTTCTTCGTGGCCCACGATGAATCCTCTGATTCTCTCAGCGAATCTACCCCGGCCACAGGCCAGCCAAATCACAGTCCCACTGGGTGCACCGTCGTGGAGGCCTTCAACCACAAATCCAGCCTGTAGCTGGCAGGTTCCAATCAGCTCCGCTGTGTAGGACACTCCACGATCGATACTAGGGTTGTGAGCCCTAGGCAGGAGCCTTGTGTGATTCTGCAGATCACTCTCCTCTCTCCGCACCACAGTGGCTAGTCTCTTCCACCAGCCAGCCCCCAGATAAGACGATTCCTGGTACTGCCACGTCACAGGCAGGCTAACACACTCAACAGTGTCCATTCGGGGGTGACTCACAGCTTCCTCAGAGCAAACTCGTGGAGAGACTATGGCTGCCTTGGGTAGACTGATCCAACGTCCAATACAGCAGTCCCAGGTCGACTCTGTAATCAGACACGTCATTAGTACTAGGGACACTCTAGGGCACCTCACTTACAGGCTTAGACACAAACGTCCACCTATCCACTCCATAGATGGCATTGCTGTCTAAGCGCCACCTTACCAGAGGTCAGCAGCGGCTATGTTATGAGCTGATCAAGACGGGAATCCAGCACCTGTGGCCGGTATATCCCGTCCTCGTTTGGAGGGGGTTTCGGGAGCAGACTCACAGATGGCGTTGTCGTCACTGCTCCGTGCTCGGACGCTGGACTCGGGTCCGTAACAGGGCCATAGTTGCAAAAATGTTTGACAAAAATCTAAAACTGAAAAATATTTAGGAAAATTTGCTCGCTTTTGGCAACACCATGGTGTAGTCCTCATGGCTATATCTGTTATATTTTCAAAATTATGGTTAATATAGGGGTCCCCCCCCCCCCCGGGCCTCCACCACACCACAATCCCACCAAACATTTTTGGGTTTTCTAAACGTTCTAAAAACAACATTTTACTGTTTTGGTCACTTTTTATATTACGTTTAATACACGTGTTTTGAGAATTTGTAAAAGCAAGAAGAAAACATGAGGTCATAACGTTTTAATAAAACGTGTTTTAAACGTTATGATATAATGTTTTGGAGCAAAGGTTTTTAAACTGTTAAGTCAAGTTATTAATTATTGGAATTATTGTTTAATTATCTTTATTACTTTTAGGAAGATAGAGAAAGGAGAGAGACAGCAAAATATGTGAGAGAGAGACACGAGAGGGAGAGAGAGAGCGAGAGAGAGAGAGAGCGAGAGAGAGCGAGAGCGAGCGAGAGAGAGAGAGAGAGAGAGAGAGAGAGAGAGAGAGAGCGAGAGAGAGAGAGAGAGAGAGAGAGAGAGAGAGAGAGAGAGAGAGAGAGAGAGAGAGAGAGAGAGAGAGAGAGAGAGAGAGAGAGAGATAAGAGAAAGAATTCCTTGTGATTACTAGGAATTTTTAGTGGATTTAAATTCACAAAACTCCTTGTGATTAAAAAGAGTTTTTTTCAATTTGAAATTCAATTTGAAATATGGTGTATAGATCTTGTTGACTTAAATGGGTTTCGTTGATTTAAATTGGGAATTTTTGAAATCTGGTAGACTTTCATTGGAATTTTGTAGCCCTTATACTTTACAGAGTCTACAGGGTCTGTAGTCTGTAGACTACAGAGTCTACAGAGTTTACATAGTGTGTAGACTGTAGAGTTTCAGAGACATAATTTTTCTGAGTTCACAGTAACAGTTATTTTTAAAGTTAGACATAGTTTCCTTTCAGAGTTTACTGTCTGTTAGTTTTTTCAGAGTGACTTTGTTTTTTCAGGGACTTGGTTTTTTCAACTTGAGTTCACAGGGTCTTACTTTTGCAGAGCTATAGAGTCATAGCTTTATTTCAGGGTGACTTAGTTTTTTTTCATAGTGACTAAGTTTTTTTCTGAGAGACTTAGTTTTTTTTCAGACTGAGTTCACAGAGTGAACAGAGTTAAATGAATTAATGCATATATCTCCTCTTAGTATCTTCTGTCTTTTATCACTCAATGTGTCTCAATCTCAGTGACAGCTTACGTTTTCTATCTCTTTCTTTGCCTCAACATATTTATTTGGCTCTCTCAGATTCTCACATAAATTGCATAACTTATTATGTCATACATTTATTAGTAGTTAGAAAAAACAAAAAAATACAAAGACAGCGAAAGATATAAAAAAGATAAACTAAGTCTCTGAGAATGAGACACAGATTAATAAAAGAGGGAGGATACAAAGAAGAGAAAATACAGCATAGGTTCGTTGAAAATTACATGATCAACACTTTGACTTAACAATGCGTTAATGAAATACTTCCCCAAAAATGCCAAACGTGCAAGAAAAATACTGGAAACAGCTCTTGCATTCACTCGCACGCACATGCACGCTTAAGTCACTCACCTGGCGTTCCGCGAGCGTTTTCTCATGGGTTCGTATCCTGGCCGGGGAGGATTTACTGTGCGCAAGTCCTTAACTGTAGCCTCTGTTTAACTCAACAGTAAAATGGGTACTTAGTTGTAAAAACGATTCTTCTCGAGGGTTGTATTACAGGGAACATAGAATTAAGGACCTGCCCGAAACGCTACGCCTATTAGTGGCTGTACAAGAATGTAACAACTCTTGTATATATCTAAAAAAAAAATGTTCACTCATGCTAGTCTTACTCTGGAAAGACTAATCAAGGGTTGACTATACACAATTCATGTTGTTTGGAAAACTATACCCTAAGTATCAACATTCAGAACTTTGATACATTGAGAGATTAGTTACGATACAGAATGACTGAGAGTAAGATATGCTATTCATTGTATAAAGTTGACATAATTAAATGTTTTACTATAAAATTATGTTACAGATTGGTGTTAAATAAAAATACAATACAAAAAGTTACCCCTCGACTACATTTTGGTGGAGTATGTTTATTTTTTATTATTTTTATATCTTATATATACATAAGTTGTTACGTTCTTGTACAGCCACTAGTACGCATAGCATTTAGGGCAAGTCCTTAATCCTATGTTCCCTGGAATACGACCCTCGCGAAGAATCGTTTTAACAACCAGGTACCTATTTTACTGTTGGGTTAAACAAAGGCTACAGTTAAGGATTTGCACCCAGTAAATCCTCTCCGTACACGATTTAAACCCAGGACAAAGCCCTCGCGGAACGCCAGGCGAGTGTCTTACCACTACGCCACGGAGAATGTTGATACTACATAAGAAGATGTGCTACGAAAAGAGAGATAAAATAATAAGTTTGGCAAAGAAATTATCAGAGTAACTGTTGAAACACACAGAAAATGGTTTGTTAATATTAGTATAGATTTAAAATAATTCTACCCTAGAGCCCAGGTGAATGGAATAGATTTAAATGTCTTAGCGAGATTTTGTGAGTGATGTTTTATGATGGGATACTCTGACATTGTGTATGAGAATGAAGACAGAGCAGAGAACTACATTATATCAGTGATGAAATATTCAAGAATGTAAATTATACGGATGGAATGAAACATTTGGTTAAATTAATTGTATGGAATATGTAAATACAGAGAGGTTAGTATGCATATGAACGGATCATCCGCACTGATAGGTACGTATTCCCACTCATCCATGCTAGGGCCCCACTCTCATCCACAGACTCACCCGCATTCCTGCTCAACAGCATAAATCCACAGGGGTCACCCACCCACCCTATCAGCCTCCTCACTCACCGTTCACCCTCCGGTCTTCTCCCGGTGCTTCTTCACCCTCGACACTCACGTCCTCTCACCTCCATAATGGGAATTACAATTACTGCAAATCAGAGAGGGAACAAAACATATTGCTTAAATAGCGGAGGTAGAAGCTACAGATCGATTGATTTAATATGATTTGTAATACATAAAATACATACAACATGAACTAGAAGATGCATAAGATGAATTAATTTGATAGTTGCAAAAGAGCTTTGTTGGAGGATATGATACAAAACAGAACAACTGTCGGTATGTTGAACTGTTTAAAGTTGACAAATAGTTCTAATGCAACATAAAACAGGAAAGATATGATA